GTGAGCAGCAATCACAGCAGCGCCAACACTCGCCCTCACGTAAACTCACCAGTATCCTCGCATCACACAATTTGGCCAGTCGACGCATTCTGTCCGACGGCGCGCTTGCCAACTGTCCACTTGACTGTTCAGCGTGGCTCAACCTCTCCCGTGGCTCCATGGTTGTGAAATGACGAACTGAGCAGCGGACTTGTTACATCAAGCCCAGCTCAGCCAATCCTCTATCAGTGGTTAGTCTGATTGGCCAAGGTTAAAGATGAGCAGCCAACCAGAGACGCTGTGTAGCAGAGTAATAGATAGCAGCCAGATTGGTGTTAATCCATTCATCGAAGATGAGAAACACGCCATGGTGGCAACGTTATGTGCCGGGGGTGCGACTTCCGGCAGTGTGGCGTCACGCGGGCATTGAATGACGCGGCGGGGGCTAAGAGCCATTTCGGCGCCGCGGAACGGACCAACAGGAGAACAGGAAGACCAGGACAAGGATACATAATGCACATGTTTCCTCCCATGCGAGTAACCCAGACTGCAACGCTTTCTCTATCTAGTACAGTTATTCGTGTTATCTCTCAGCCTTGTTTTCACCATGGGCCCGAAACCTACAAATGGTAGCAGCAAGAACGTCGGCATGACGTCCTCCTCGGACGCCGAATTTTCGGAAACCGACAATGCTTTGAACAAGGCATAACTTCATTCCAGTTTTTGCCACAGCCCCCTGAATTTCAGCTTGACGATAACATTGGGAGATGGATTTGTGCAATGGATTGTTTTCTGAGATGTGTTGCCCCTCAAATCAGGTCGCGCCGACTACTGATCAATTTGTCTGGAAAAGCGAGGTACAGGGCAGACAGGAGTGGATGTGCTACGGACACCGCGTATTAAAAGTTGGAGGAAAGGTTGTTGAAAGTAATTCTGAAGAATTTGGGTCATAATTGGGACAAACTTGGAAATTGTTGCACTATGGCCTATCATCCCCAAAGGAATGAGCAAGTTGAACGAACTAACATGACGCTTAAGATGCTTCTAAGACTGCATCTCGATAAATACGCTTGGAATCAGTGGGACGACGCCTTGCCAGAATGCCTACTAGCATATAGGTCGGCTGTCAACTCCTCCACTGGTCTAACCCCAACAGTAATGACTTTGGACATAAGTTGCGGTTGCCGGCAGATGTCGCAGAACTCTTACTTCGAGAAGCGGATTATGTAGAACCTTCCGAGTATGTTGCTGATGTGAGACGACAGCTGCGTCAATCTTTCGAGGCAGCCAAGTCACAGCTAGCCTCAGCTCACAAGAGACAGAAGGATTAGTATGATAAACGGGCGCACGGTACCCCTGTTGAGGAAGGTGACCTAGTGTGGATGGCTACGACGAATGTTGTGAGCGAAGGCAGAAAATTACAACATTCGTGGGAAGGACCATATGTGGTCGACACGGTCCTTAGTGAAGCGTCATGTGCAATTTGCAGTCTTGACGATAGTCCAGGTCAAGGGTTCACCGTTCATTTTAACACGCTGAAACCCTATCTTCCGTGAGTGGAGGAAACTGATGACGAGCCCCTAATATACTGTGAGCCACTCCCAGTAGACCACACGGTTGAGATAGCTGCAGTATTAGCAGATAAGAAGCTAGAGAAGCTTCAGTCTAAGGAAGGGTAGTGTAGGGAAGTGACAGATAGCAGCCATATCTGTGTTAATCCATTGGTCGAAGGTGAGAAGCACGCCAGGGTCGGGGGTGTGACTCCCGGCTGCGTGGCGTCACGCGGGCATTGAATGGCGCACCCGGGACCAGGAGCTAATCTGCCCACGA